CATGTCTTTTCTTATCCATAATTTTTTTTTTTTTTTTTTTTTTTTTTTTTTTTTTTTTTTCTTCTTCTTAATACTTCATTGTAATAACAAAATCAACCGCCGTGTTGTTGGTCCGGGCATAGAATGGGCCGCCCCCACCTTTCCTGTGGGTGACGTAAGAGGCAACTAAGGGAACTTCTTTTCGAGGAATGGGTAGCAACGTCCCTCTTAAAATATCTCAAAAGACCTAACTGCGATTTCAAACCCGCCTGCCAAGCGTGGCAACTATTGGTAAATTCCCCAATAGTAAATACCGTAAAAAAACGGCCCCCCAGTCCCTGGCAACTCCACTATTCCTAATCACGGTAGCGGTCACGGTAACGGCGGAGCAAGGAGTGCTAAGAATCTCCGGCAAAGATTCCGCTAGCAACTCCAGCGATTGGACCTGGCAACATACAATGCACGAACCTTAAACACCAACGAAAAGGTTGTGAAGCTGGAAGAAAAGGTGAACAAGTTACACTGGGATATTATAGGACTATCTAAAGTCCACTTAATTATACACACACTTATTATTATTATATTATTTTGTAAAGTTTATTACTCAGCTATAGCTGGTATATACGCTACTTTACGTATACTGCACATACGGGCCGAGACCAAGTAAGTGCAGTGTTCTTTTTTTTTTTTTTTTTTTTTTTTTTTTTTTTTTTTTTTTTTTTTTTTTTTTTTTAAATATATTTTTGGTAGTTTCTGGTCTCAATGAATGACAATCCTGTATAGCTATGATAAAACCTTCAGTCTCTGGGTATAACATTCCTTGACTTAGTCATGCGTTCGATGCTTCTTTATCGACATTGGATTCACATAAGTCGTGTCGGCGTCCCATGTAAGGACTTTTCAGACCCTTTTTTTTTTTTTTTTTTTTTTTTTTTTTTTTTTTTTTTATCGTGAGGAAATCTTCCAAAGACCTTCCCAACTGCCGGAGGGAAGGCAAATGGGGTGTGTGGGATTTTTACCCACTAAAACCTCACGACGTACCTCGAGGCGCAAATGTCGGGTCCCCGGGCTCCCGAGTTGAAGACGACCGGAGCCCGACGCAACGGCCCGCCCTATAGATGTTGTAGGACAGGCCACCTCTCGTGTTTAGGATGGGGAATGCCCTTCCCATCCTACTGTCTCAAGATGCACACGGGTACGTGCGCACACCTCCTAGGGCCCTTAGTGGGGTGTGCTGCACCCTGGCTCTGGTGGGAAGGGGGGAGGAAGCGGAGTTAGGCGCGCCCCCTCTCCTTCGCCTGACTCGTCGGCGGCGCATGGCGGGAGCAGTGGAGGCACTCTCACGCTCCCGCTCGGCTGCTTCCTTCTGCGACATCACCGCGTCACAGAAGGTGAGTACGGCTCTTCACAACCTCTCAGTAGCGAGAATGGTCAGTAACCATTCTCCGAACTACATTCGGCAGCAAGAGGTCGTTTGCCACTTCCGCTACCAGAACGCGGCGCTCCGCGCTGAATGCGGGGCATTCTTCTAATAAGTGTTGTGCCGTGTCCTGGTCACAACCACACTCGTGGCACTTTGTCGTCGGCTCTCGTCTCGTCTCTCGTCAGCCAGCTCAACGAGCCAGCAGCCGCTATAAAGCGGGGGGCCAGATTCCGGAAATGAGTGCGGAAAGGGCGCCCCCCATGGATCCCTATCGAGAGATTCCAGGAGTTTCTTTCTAGCACTGACCTTGGCTCTGCTAATGGCCAGTTGTAGGGTCTTCTTCTTTTCCCTGAAGACCGCATACAGCTGCGCTTCCGTCTCGGTATCACGGTTCCGCGTTCGGCGGCGATGCCTGAGGTACTGGCGTCTAGCGGCATTGCTCTCTACGCGCAAAGCCGCTATCTCGTCGGACCATCAGTACACTTGACGCCAAGAAGGTCGAGAACCGGCTCTAGGCATCGCTGCGTCACATATTTGCGACATTGCCTCGCTGAACCGGCATGCCTCCTCCTCGACCTCAACAGGCCCTGGTCTTGACCCTGCCTCAGAGACCCAGGCTTGTACGATCGAAGCTTCCATCAGAGCGTCTTTATCCAGACGTTTCGATGTCCACCTGGGGAATGTCAAGGTGTTCCTTTTCCCCCGGCGATCAGGCTGCAGGAGCGTTGACGAGGGGAGTATGTCAAGCCTTATATACCTGTGGTCTGACAGGGATTCCACATCATCCAAAACTTTCCAATCCTGCACCCTGTGCGCAATAGCCGGGCTAGCGAGCGTGATATCCACTATGGACTCGCCCTGCCATCGCACACATATGGCGACTGACCCTCAATTGAGTATCACAAGGCCAGTCGTGATCCCTTATTCTTCGAGAACCCTGCCGGGAGCGTTGGCCACCGGAGCTCCCCAAGCCGGGGATTTGGCATTGAGGTCTCCCAATACCATTACTGGGCGGGTTGGATATTGACCAATTGCAGCCACCAACCCGTCCATGAGGAATCCGAGGCAAATATCGTTGAACATCGACAAGAAATAGTCTCTCTTATGTCACAAGAGTTGAGTGACATAAAGGAGGTAGTAATCAATGCGCGTACCGCGCCACCTAACGATCTTTTCCCAACCGGAGTTCTTGGTGACTCGTGATCGACAGATACCAAGTCCCATATTGGATGCTATTATGGATGAAATTCGCGCGCTTCGTAAGAAATTGACAAAGCGGAATGCATATTGTGCTGCTTCACATGTAACACGCAGTGAACTTCACAAAATTCTCTGTGATAATATGAAGCCCCTTTAGTAACGAACTAAACCGTCACTACTACAATGTTGGAATTCAAAGAAGCAAAACACAATAAGCTTATTGCTGTTCCGTTACGATTCGTTCCAATAGTGTAACGATTGGCCACAAGATGTCGTCTATGAAAGTAATAGTACCACTATTGGCTACAAGATGTCGCCTCTGAAAGTTTACAAGTCGCTATAATTTTCTCCTGACTCAACTAGGATATTCGATGGGAAAGAAAGAAAACCTCCGGTTTAGGTTAGGTTTAGGTTAGGTTAGGTTAGGTTGGGGTGGGGTGCTGGGTCGGAAAACCTCCAAGAGTGCCCTGGCTCATTGTACGGTCACTTGTCCTGGTGCGGATACGTCCGGCGGGACCGGTGGCTGACAATGGCTGGGGCCTGGTGCATCCTGGGCAACGGCGGTAAGTGACTTCTCGCTATTTAGAGATCTCACTTACCGACGGCTAATGTTCCGACGCCGCGGGTGGGACGAGTTCGTGACGCACTATTTGTGTTGCGGACTTGCCTGACTCGCTCTTCGTTTTGTTTCTACTTTTGTTTCGTTTTTCTTCGTTTTTGTTTTTGTTTTGTTTTTGTTTTTGTTATATCTTCTCTGTCGTCTTTTCTGTCATCTTTCTCTTTTCTGTCGTTTTTGTTTGTCTATCCATTTTCAAATTTCAATTTCCTTTCGCCTTGCTACGGGACCTCACCCGTTAAAAAAAGGAAACAGATGAAATGGCCGAGTTCAAAACTAATGACCCCAGGGCGGTACCATCGGGAGATGGAGAATCCGCCACCACCGCACCGGTTCAGCCGGGGGTGGTCAGCTCCACGTATCTGGGGGGAGCAAAACAAGGCCTTGAAGGAGTAGGGGTTGAGAAGTTGGGAGAATTGGAGAAGGGGGCGGGCCTGGCGACCACAGTCGTGCCAGTCAGGGCCCGTCGGAGTATGGACGTGGATCCGGCAACGGATGAGGAACTGGCCAGTCTTGCTGGCGAGATCGACAGCTTGCTATCGCGGTCGACCTCGGTGGCAAGCCTGTTTAGCGAAGACGAGTATGGGCTCCTCGAGCGCCCCCGTTCGCGCAAGAGGCGCATATCCGAAACCGACGATGGGTCGGCTACAGGATCCGGACGAGACACACAGTCGGCCGCCAAAAAGGCGAACGCGGCTAAAAAATCGGCAAAGACTGCAAGCAGTCAGTTCAGCATTTCGCTGTATGAGGGCGGAAACACGGTGCCCCCGACGACGACCGAGCTTGAGAAGACTCTTCTCTCGACGCCTGGCGCGAAGGGTCGTGGCGCTGGATTGGTGAAGGCGAAAGCCGACTTGGCTGCTGCCAAAAAACGGGATGTAGGATGTGAGGTCGCCCCTGCGGTGGCGGGCTCTTCTAGGGCGTCGGTGCGTCCAGAGTTTAAGAAGCCCTCTCAGCCAGTGGGTCAGTACACCGACCCCTTGGAGGCGGAGATGGACGGCTACGTGCGCCACATTTCGGAAACGGTGCGGAAATGCGGTAACATCAAAGGTACCATAATCAAAGAGATCAAGACCTCCCTGACCGGGATCCGCATGGTTGCCGAAAAGATGCTCGAGAGAGGCACCTCAGCCGAGTATGTTGAGCTACGGAAGGAGAATGCTCGGCTGGCCACGGAGATGGCGAACCAGCGCGTCAGAATGGACGGCATGCTGGAGGAGGCGATCAAGGATCGCAAAGAGATGAAGGCGTTGCGGATGGCACTTTCGTCATCGGGCGGCGACCAGTCGGCCAACACCTCGGCCTACAGTGAGCTCAAGCGCGAACTAGAGCTAGCGCGCAATGAAAACGCAGAGTTGGCGGAGCAGTACGTTGCAGACCGTCGCGAGCTTCGTCGTCTGAGGCAAGAGCTGGAGGAGGCCAAGAAGGCTACACAGCCACCCTCAGCGTCTGCGGCCGCGGAGAGAACGCCTGCCGCCCCGGCCCCTTTACAGCCGGGTGTGGTCCCTCCCGAAATTGAGGGCATGGAGGCTAGGATTGTTCGGCAGATCGGGGATATCTTCAATGCCCGATTTGCCATCATTGAGGAACGGCTTAGCCAAGCCGGCGAAATTCGGCCGCCACGAAAGCGGAAGAACAAAAAGAGTGCCTCGCAGCCATCCACGTCACGGGGTGCCCAGGAGGAACACGAGAGGAATGGCCCGCTCACCCAGCCGGCCAACGCCACTGAGTCGGGTGCCGATGCTGCTCCCATGCCGTCGTCCAATAATGTGTCGGAGAGAT